AAAAAAAAAAAAAAAAAAAAAAAAAAAAAAAAAAAAAAAAAAAAAAAAATTAAGAAAGGATGAGTAATAAATATTACATTATAACTATTTTTAAATTAAGGAGAAGACATATATTTTGTAGGTAAATAATTCCGTTATTAATTTTTTTTACCAACTTTTATTACTCTTATGCTGTTGACAATCAAATAACTCTTCATGCAATTGAAAACTGGATCTCATACCTCATGATTTATTTGACCAATGAGAATGCATGAACCAATCATACTTTTCATCTGATTTTTATATACATAATAGTTATTTTATCGTAGGTGTCTACTCATAGCCCCACATTATTCAATAATTTCAATGAATTTTGTCATGTCATCAAATTTGATTTAAATAATTGCTATTAGTAAAATTCTTTACAATGTTTGTTTTGCTAAAACTCTTCCTAAGCACGTAGTGTGTACTTCAACTGTTTTTTGACAAAATTCAAACGTTGAAAATATCTAAAACCATTCTTACAAATGCCCCAAACCATACAATTTTAATTTACAATCATACAAAGAACATTATTGCAACTGCATTTGTAATTTACGATATTTTTGTTTTCTTAAAGTAAGTTATTTTACATTTTTTAAATATATTTTGAGGAAAAATTATAGCAAGTTCTCTTAATTGTGTACAGCAGTAGGGCATGAAACATTTACAGTGAACTTAATGTCGATGAAACAGGACACTAAATTTTATAGCCAAATGTAGTGAAACCATTGGCCACATCATGACAAAGATGTCCTAACTTTTAATTGTATTTTTTTGTTGAAATTTTGGTTTTAAATTAGTTTTGGAGAACAAATACTTGCCATCAAAGTATTGTAAACTGGAGTTATATATTAACCCATTTTCGTCCAAAGGTGCACAAGCGCACCATTTCAATAAATATTTTTTATTAATACTGTGACATATATTTTTTACTAATCTTATTTTTCTGCTATTGTCAAGGGTTCTTAAGACACCCAAAAATTAATAATGATTCAATTGGAGTAAGCACTTTTTGTTGAGAAATTTTTTAACCATTAAAGTTTTTTTTAAACTTAAAACGGTTATTGACAAATAAAATATCTTGAAAATGTATAATTATTCCTTTTAAGATTTATCATTATGTTTTTATGATGGATTAAAGTTGAAAGTCAGTGAATTAAAAAAAAATGAAACAAATTTCATAAAAAAAGCAAGAGTTCACCGAAATGGTTTGTTCATTGATTTGGTTAATGGTGCCTATACGCACCATTTTATTTCTTGAATAAAATATAAGTTTTATGCACAAAATTTTGTTTCTTAATAAATGTAATGTAAGCATATTTCAATGAAAATAATTCATTTCGTAAAATTTATATGCTTGGTTTAAAATAAGTGCATCTGTAATCAGAGAGATAAAATGTTCTAAACTGGAACAGAAACTTTGATACAGCTAAGCTTTTTTTGTTGGAATTATTACAGGAGGTGATGGTCCTAAGAAAATAGTTTTAGAAGAAGTTAGAGAACGTTGCCAGCTACAAGAAAGAGTGACTCTTCTTGGAGCTGTTAAGCATGAAAATGTTCGAGATGTAAGTATGTTCTTCCGTTTGTTTCATAAAGACTTTTAATTTAAATAAAAGTTTTAATTGCTATTATTGTTTATTGTTATAGTTTTTTTTTATTATGGTTTATAGTTCCTTTTTTGTTTAAAATAAGTTATTTGTTCATTTCAGTCAAAATATTAAGTTATTTTATTCTACATATAATGTTCAATTTATGATAAATGTTACTTGATTCTGATTGGTGGTTTGGTTTCTAGAGTGATTTTTGTGCATTACACATTTGTTAGCAAAGCTTTAAATGCATTTTGCANATTCAATTGGAGTAAGCACTTTTTGTTGAGAAATTTTTTAACCATTAAAGTTTTTTTTAACTTAAAACGGTTATTGACAAATAAAATATCTTGAAAATGTATAATTATTCCTTTTAAGATTTATCATTATGTTTTTATGATGGATTAAAGTTGAAAGTCAGTGAATTAAAAAAAAATGAAACAAATTTCATATAAAAAGCAAGCGTTCACCGAAATGGTTTGTTCATTGATTTGGTTAATGGTGCCTATACGCACCATTTTATTTCTTGAATAAAATATAAGTTTTATGCTCAAAATTTTGTTTCTTAATAAATGTAATGTAAGCATATTTCAATGAAAATAATTCATTTTGTAAAATTTATATGCTTGGTTTAAAATAAGTGCATTTATAATTAGAGAGATAAAATGTTCTAAACTGGAATAGAAACTTTGATACAACTAAGCTTTTTTTGTTGGAATTATTACAGGAGATGATGGTCCTCAGAGAATAGTTTTAGAAGAAGTTAGAGAACGTTGCCTACTGCAAGAAAGAGTGACTCTTCTTGGAGCTGTTAAGCATGAAAATGTTCGAGATGTATGTATGTTCTTCCGTTTGTTTCATAAAGACTTTTAATTTAAATAAAGTTTTAATTACTATTATTGTTTATTGTTATAGTTTTTTTTAATTATGGTTTATAGTTTCTTTTTTGTTTAAAATAAGTTATTTGTTCATTTCAATCAAAATATTAAATTATTTTATTCTACATATAATGTTCAATTTATGATAAATGTTACTTGATTCTGATTGGTAGTTTGGTTTCTAGAGTGATTTTTGTGCATTACACATTTGTTAGCAAAGCTTTAAATGCATTTTGCAAATGTATGTTTTTTCTTCTTTCGTATAAGATATTTCTTTTTTTGTTATTTCACCTGTTATAGTACACATTCTGACTTAGGTTTATTTTTTTTAATTGTTGATTTAATTACTTTTAAGGGAACATTTTTTTTTCATTAAAAAGTCTAAAAAAATCAATTTTAAAAGCAAAAGTTTCAATTGAAAAATGTTTAGAAAAATAAAGGGTTTAAAAAAATTCTTTCATCAGGTTTAAAAGAAAATTATTTCAAAGTCGACCCTTTTATTGTTGGCTAGATGGAAATATCATATTTCACAATAACCCCTTAGCATCCGCTTTTTTCAAACTTTCAGCAGCTAGTTTTTCTCCTACAAAAATTGCCATGCCCCCCCCCAAAAAAAACTGGAATGGTGCCCAATAGTTTAGTGAAAGTTAATTTTTTTTAAAACCCTGATAGTCTAAACATCTTTGAATTTTGTTTCTAAACACAACATCCAAGCAGAGTTTTGAAATTTTCAAAATAATATGATTCAAGTCAGTATAATTGTCAGTGTTTCTGTCAGATTTTGGAAATTATGAGTCCTTAAAGCCAGGGCATCCATATTTTTAGGTACCTATTTACTAAAAGCGGGTCCTTATGAATTCTCAACCTCTTTATCCATCTATAATTATTCCCATTCCTAATATTATTTTATTTATTGATGGGCAAATCAAAGAATTTTAAATCAAGAGAGCTATGTTTGAATTATATAGGGTTTTAATTAGGACTGATCAAACACCTGCATCGAGGAAAAGCAATGATGTAATTTAATACTCAAAATTATGTTTATTTTTTCCTTCAGCTATTAATAACAAAGGAAAAGAAATGTTTTATAGTGCACATTTATTGAAAGTTTGGTTTTAAAATTATCTTCATAAATCTGCTGATGTGCTATATTTTTTGTTGCGCTGGAAAACTACATGTTCAAGCATCATAGCATACTTTTTTCACCCTCTCTATAATTTTTTGGTGTATATGACACTTTATTGAACATAAGTGGTATCACTGAATTTATATATAAAATACTTCTGACATTTTTTTGATGAAAATAATAATTTTCTTTATTCTGTGACAAATTATTCTGGAAAATTACATGTTCAAGAAAACGCATTATAACATATTTTTTGCTCCCGCTCTATGATTTTTTGGCATATTTGACACTTTATGTAAGTCGAATTACTGACTTTCTGTGCATTAAAACTCTTATTACATACTTCTGAAATTTTTTGATAAAAATCATAATTTTCTTTATGCTGTTATGTGAAAACTGAGACACAAATTTTCTTTATGCTGCTATGCAAAACCTGTTACGTTACTTTCTATTTTGTCATAGATTGGTTTTTAAAAATTGCTCCTATCTTTTAAAAATTTTTAATCTTTACATACTATACTCACATAGCATTATCAATTTTGAGTTATTTTTTCAATTACTGTGAAATGATTTAAAAAAATAATAATTTTTGTTTAGGTTCTTGTGAAGGGTGATATCTACCTGAATGCATCACTTACAGAAGCATTTTGTATTGCAATTTTAGAAGCAGCTTGTTGTAGGTATTTACTATTTTAATGTTAATACAGTTATTTTTTTTATTATACCCTTTGTAGAGTTAAATATTTTAATAATGTTATGTTAAAATATTTTTTGTGATTTATTTATGAAACGAAATTCCTTTAGCTTATTACTTCGATTTATAAGATCAGTTTCTTTATGACAAATTGGTGGGAGTTTTCAAAATTTAACCTGCCGCAAAGAATTGACTGTAAATGTGGATTCCTGTGCATACTAATTATAGAACTTGTAAATAATTCTTTGTTTATTACTACAAATAAATCTGCTAAGAAACAATTAAATAAACAAATACAGAACACACAAGAGCTCCTCTGCATTAAATTTTCTTCTTGACCTCACTCTAACCTTAACCGTTATCCACATTTATGTAAATAAAGCATGTCATTAGTATCTTTCTTTTTTGTATAGCCGAACAACTCATCTATGTATTTATTTCTCTTACATTGCACCCAATATGTGGGTATTTCTATATCTAAATTGGCAATAGTATAGTCATTTATAAGTAGTTCATTTTATTAGTTTGTAATGATTTAAGTAGTGTTAAACATAAATAGTTATATGTTAAGTATATGTCTAAATTGATTTTGTTAGGTAGTCTTAAGTTAGTTATACATTTAGTATTTATTCAGAATAATTTTGTATTTTTATAGAAATAAAAACTTAGTTCCGAAGTAATTATTGAGATTCATTTTTTTTTATCCTTTTTCAAATGGCAGCAGAAATTTTAAACATATGGTGCTATTGGGCTCATACTGTCATATCAAGTATTGGTGACGGAGCTTGCCTTTTTCGAGCAAAAAGCATGTACATATATTATACCAGATTTAAATTATGGTCCGTGAAGAAGTAGTAAAGCACAAAAAACAGCTTTGGGATGAGTTTTCTTTTGTATCTCACGGCAGAGATGGAAATAATTTTAATCTTTTTGCTGCTTACTGTGCTGAAATATCATGAATTTATATTTATGGAGGTTTGTGTTATTTAATGATTGCCTAATAAATTTTAAGTTATTAAAATTCAATGCATTT